TATAAATACTTCTTTTGTTACAGGTTGTTCTTATTATTGGTATAACCGGAGCATGTCGAACAAATGAACTTACACTACTTAATGTCAATAACGTATCAAAATATTCTCATAATTCTGATGAATTGCTATTAATTAATGTACTAAATACCAAGACAAAAAAAGACCGCAACTTCGTTATTCGCAAGGAATATGTAAACATTGTTCAGAAATATCAAGCTTTACGTCCTTCTAACACCCCAATTGAACGATTTTTTCTACAATATCGCAACGGAAAGTGTATCCGACAACCTATGGGTCAGAATAAAATTGGCAGTATTCCACGAGAAATAGCAACTTTTCTCGGACTTTTAGAACCCCCGTTATACACCGGTCACTGTTTTAGAAGAACCTCAGCCACACTTTTGGCCGAATCAGGGGCTGATCTTCTATCGCTTAAGCGCCATGGAGGCTGGAAGTCTAATTCGGTTGTAGAGGGATACATAGAGGATTCAATCCAAAGTAAATCAAAAATTTGTAATAGTATCGTGGAGGCCATAACGCTGAAAGAACCTCTGTCAGATTCTTGGTCTCGCCCTTCTACATCTAAAATGAGCCCCCATAAGATTGGAAACAATAGCCCTCTCTCGCCAACATTTACGCCAATAGAAACCAATGAATCGGCACAACTATTTAAAATTACTGATACGAGTAGTTTACCACAAAACAGCGCACAATTCACAAACACCAACATAACATTACCTAACAAAAATATTAAACTTAACATAAGTAACTGTAGCAACGTTACATTTAATATTTCTTAATTATTTTCTACTTCTTATTATTTTCTTCAATTTATAGATTATCTTAATGTGTTTTAATTGAAATAAAAATATTTTGTCATTATAAATTGTTTTCTTTTTCATTTTGTCATTTCCTCGCTGAGGTGGGATGAAAAGTTACGTATTGCACTCGAGTGGAAAGATTTTTCACCTTGTGCTCGTTTGTTTCCCTCGCTGACACTCAGGATTCTAATTTAGAATCACTCGCTGCGCTCGTGATTCAACTTTAGAATCCTTCGCTTGCTCGGTCATCCAAATCGAGCACGCGGTTAAAAAGGAACTTTCCACTCTTGTATAATAAATAACTATTAATACTAATTTTACAAAGTCTCTTTTACGGGAAAAAATCATCTCTTTCCATGCATCAGGCTGAAATCGAAGCAGCAACATTCGCTACCCTGGCGTATGTACTAGTGGAACAAATTCATGAAACCCGCCAAGTGCGAGTTGGACTCGCTACCGAGGGTTTCGTAATATTGAAAGCTGAACTAAGGAACTAATCCATTATTTTCTAATTTTTTTGTTGTGACAGCTATAGCACAATAAAACGCATACTGTCAAAAATTTTAATTTTTACCTATTACGGATAAAAAGAGGATCAAGGAGGCCCTTGGCCCTAGTAGAAAACATACAAATAGTCCAGTCACTGCACAGTTTTCCTAGCAATTCTACCAAACAGCACCGATTAGCACCAACATGTTACTCTTTACTTCAAAGCTGTGCCGAGGGTTGCTTTTACCCTTGGTGTGGACGCTGGACGCCACCCCTTTTCAGGGATGAAAAATATTTTATTAAAAATAAGAATGGGAATGGATACTCCTATCACTCTGTTTGGAGTTAGACTAAGACTAAAGACTTATTCCCCCTTACTAATAAACTTATTCCCCCTTATTAATAAACAAGGAATAAGCTTTGACAAGTTACGCCATGTTTCGTCCATGTCAATTAAATGGCATTTGTCATTCAATAGACAAAGACAAAACATGGAGTAGATAATCCAAGCGTAGTCTTCGTTTATTAATAAGGGGGGTAAGTCTACACATGATGATGATGAAGTCTACACAGGAGTAGAGAAACATAATAACTTTTAACAATCCAATACTGTAGTTGCATAATCGATATTTATCTATTGTTGATCACGATTTTAACCTTCCAGCTGATTTATTGCCGATCCGTGCTGGTATAATGACTAGACGGACGGGTCCCTCCTCGTCACGAAATTCATAAGACTTTCTAATCGGACGGATGTCTGATTGCCATGCTATTACAAATATATCATTTAAAACTATTCATTAAACGTTTGCTCAAAATACTGCTTAAAATCGTCCAGATACAAAGATCTGAAAGCTAATAAACTTTATGGCAAATCATAGCAATAGAGGAAAATAAAAACGAACTATATAAAAAACAAAATAACATGAAAGAAAGAAAGAAATAAGACATAGTCTTTACAATTAAATAAAGTACTATAAAATTTATATTTGGAGACGGCCAAAACCCAACTAGTAAATGACAACTCACGACTCCAAGCTACCCCTTTTGAAATAGAGACATTTTTTTTTTGAAGTGAAATCTTCTTTAGCGGCGTTGTACTTTTTTTTGTATGGGTAAATAATGTTAAACGCGCGTCAGGTTAAACACGTGGGCTGATCGCATCATGACACACAATATAATTGGAAAGGTCGTTGACTTTCAATATATTGGACGAAACATAGTAATATTTTATTTTACCGTATTATAATAATAAGTCTCTATCTAGGACGTCCACGTAGCAGCTTTATTGCGAAGAAAATGCATTTCTTTTACAATAGATGTTGCTAAGTGCGCTTATACGTGATTCATGTAAGTTAATTTTTCTGAGGGATAAACTTTTTAATGTAACATAAATTGCCATGTTTGTGTACGATGGCGCAATAAATAAATAATGTATTATACCACATACATGATAGTACTTTTATACTGATAAATAAAGCAATTCGTGTAAATTTGTTCCCTAACCATTCCAAAATATCAAAAATGCACACCGTAATATTGAAGTTTTCACTTCTGCAGGCTCTCCCGGAGTGCAACCCGTCGTTTTTTTTTTTAACTATTAGTCAGTTTCTAGCGTTCGATACAAAAATGACAAATTCGATGATTTAGGGATTTTAAACTTTTTTGCGCTGCCAAGTGTTTCAATAAAATCTGTAACAACACTCTCTAAGGCTTAGAACGCACTGCGATTAACCGGGAGCGGTTGAGGAATAGCTGAAAACGCATAACCGCATACAGCCACGCACTGCGACTGGCGTTTAACTTAATTTTATTTCAGTATGATCATGGATTTTTGGCAAGCGCGTGTTGTAGTAGCTTTGGTTTTAAAACGTCGCCGCCATAGGTACTGGGTACACCCATTAACAGATCAAAGACATTTGAAAGGATACTTTTGCAAAATGTACAACGACGTGCGACAGCATCCGGTTAATTTTTTTTAATTACTACAGAATGTCGATTGGTACTTTTGATAAATTATTGCAAATTGTGGGCCGGTATCTCCGACATACCGTCAACCGAATTCTGTTAACCGCCGTGCGTGCGCCGCCATATTATTACTATGGGGCACAAAAAAATCGCACGTCTACAAACCGCGATCCAAAAGTAGCAAGTTACGTTTTTTTATAATCAGTCTTGCGTTTTTAAAATCAGTCACTGAAAAAAGCCGCTAATGCGTGCGCTTGTATAGAAAGCTTTGTGTTACATTTTTTTGCGGTTTCAGACTTGCGATAAACGCGTGTCTGAAACCGCAATGCGTTCTAAGCCTTAACTAAACTTTGGCAGCTCGGTATTCACGGCGATTTGTTTCGCTGGATAAAGTCATACGTAGGGACTCGTTATCAGGCTGTGGCATTGTCAGGTTATCAATCTGCGTACAAAGATGTACTGTCGGGTGTTCCTCAAGGATCACACCTAGGACCTTTGCCCTTTATTTTATATGTCAATGATTTACATACATCATACATTTTTAACTAATTCTTATGTTCTTCTTTATGCAGGGGATACAAAATATTCCGAGTTATATAAGACACATGAGACTGTTCCTTATTGCAGAGCGATTTAAATAATTTTAAAAGATACTGCAATAATGATACTTAATTTTTTAATCCAGATAAATGTCATATAATCTCCTTCACAAGGAAAAAAGCCCGATAAATTTCTGTTATATATTGTGTGAAAAGATTTCAAATCCTGTAATAGAAATAAGAGACCTAGGTGTAACAATGGATTCTAAACTTACATTTGTCCCGCACATTGACAAAATAGTTAACCAGTTCTTCCAATTATTGGGATTCATATTGCGGATAGGAAAACCTTTTCAGACTTCTCTAACAATATAAGACGCTTTCTAAAGGTACTGTACCCCTAGCATGAACCAATATTGAATTCGAATAGTTTGCGAGTCCGAAATGTCAATGTTAAATTTTGTATAGAAACTTGACATTGACATTTAGCACTCGCAACGCAAACTATTCGAATTTGATAATGGTTCGTGCTAGGGGTACTGTTCTATAATACAATCACTTTATGTTGTACCTTCTCAATTTTATTCTGATGTACACGATGATAAGGATTCCATACTGGGCTTGCAAATTCCAATCGACTACGCACGTAGCTGTTAACCAGCACGAACCAATATCGAATTCGTAACGTTTACGAGTCCAGTTATAATCTCGTAAACTGTGCGATATTATTAAGTTTGGAGTTGCGAGTGCTGTCCGCGCAATTCAATCTTCCCAAGTGATAATACTGACCACTTATCTACATAGGTACTTACTAAAAATATTCTGTAAATGCCATAAATACTTGGCTATTTTAAAATTAGAAATAGTTTATTAATCAAATCACGTATCACATTATCTACATCAAATTCATCTGCCTTACCTTCAATTATTGTTAACTTATTCAGGACTAGGTATATTTAAAATCATCCTTCGCTCTTCTTTTGAGGGTTAAACTTGTAAGAATCACGTACAAATAATATGTGTACGTGATATGAAATAATTTTTAATTTAATTTAACATTTTTTTGTGTCGACTATTGTCTATTTGATTGAACTGAAGAGTCGAGATAACATCAACGCCACGTGTTCCTGTTTTGGCAGGGAAGGGGACAGTAAAACGTAAGGGTAATAAAACTAAATAAAATATCACTTTTCAATTATGTTACTTTTATTTATACAAAGGAAGACATGCGAGAATGTCATTTAACGCCTAACAATTAACGATCTACCGACATTGTATCGAATGCTACGATACGTCTACTAATTAGTAATCCATGATACTCTACATCAAAATTACAATAAGAAGTGAATAGCAAGGTTTGATGTTTAATAAGATACCTTTAAAGATATAGGTTTATCAGATTTCAAAAACCTATTTTAGATTTAAATTTAATTGACCACTCTCTCGGCACTACCATATTTAACTTCAAAAGAATAAGTAAGCAAGTTGATAGCATAAACCCTTCGTAAGTAAGTTACAAAATTGCGAAACATATCCCGGCTTATGATTAAGGGTTAAAAAGCTAAGGATGACAATAAAAATAAACTATAGTTAAACCATACCCATACAATAATTAAAATGATAAACATGCTTATTAAGTTCTCCAACCTATATTTAAGATTTCATAATTGTAAAAACTAAACAGCTAAGTATTTGATTTATAGAAATTAGGTACTATAATTATTTCAGTGATTATGAAAATAATTTTATGTTAACACCTTAACAATACCCAAAACTAAGTGAATGATTACGTGCAAGTTTAGATTCGAAATTGCTTATCCTAAAAAATACATGATAATTAAAGACAAAACAATAAAAAACAAGGGAGCTATCTCACATACCTACTTAAATTAAAAAAAGACCAAACTACTAAGAAGCCTAGACTTACTATTACTGAAATTGAATTTGACTCGATTCGATCATGGATAAAGTGTCATACTTCAGTCTTATAATACGTATTTGGAAGCTACAAGTGTTCTAAAATTCGCATTTGATTTACATAATAATAATTGAGCTATCGGATGATCGCAGATCAATAAAAATTGGTAGGCGTTCGACGCCCATGTACATTTAAAATCTAAGATAAACTAATCTATGTAAATCTAAGCGTAAGTAAACAGCTAATTAATTGTGTTAACGACGCAAATTTCACACACGCACTAGTGTCGTAATCGTAACTGTAACACTGCTGTCTTTCTTTCCGTTTTAGGATCCAGCGACACTCGGCAATCTGCCGTAACGTTACTCGCAGTGTCGTTCATTCCATGGCGTTTCACAGCGATGGACGCGCCCCGAAGGCTTGGATTACATGCAGGGTGTATTTTTAGCCCCAGTAACGCTGATGCGGTTAGGTCTCGTTGTCTCGTCGCGGCCTCAGGGCCGGCTCGAGGAGGCCTAAACTTGTGCCTCTGCGGTGTTCTGCCATAAGTTGGAGGGGAGCGTGTCGTAATGTGACGGCACAGTCGTCAGAGCATCGGACGCGCTCCGCGTTATGGAGCAGTTCTGAAACAAACATAATACTCTTTTTATATTACTATGCCTTAAAAGTAGTATCTTCCTAAGTCTCTTAAGAGCCTTTTCACTATTTTTGCAAAAAATCGTAATATTTGATCGCCTCGTTTACCCCCTTAGAAAAGATTTTGACTATTTCCAATATACGTAAATAGTAGATTTATTCTTCTTATTGTAAGTTAATGTAGAATATTTGCAAATACTATTTTCCTATTTTTGTACTGATTCTACTGCAGCTAGTTTACGGAAAAAACGATAATATGCACAACTTCAAACGCCTCAATCTCGCAATAATGTTCAATAAATTAGATCAAATTAATTACTACGACATCAGAAAATATGTTTTTGTTGTAATATAATGTAAAACTAATCTATCATCATTGAACTACTGAAATAGGTATATATTTTTATAATTAGTTCTTTAATAATTATTTTATAAGATTCGAAATGTCACCCGTAAAATGCAATATACTAGTGCAAATCTACCTACGCGCCGATCAGTACGGCAGCGGCGTAATTTTGTAAGGAAGGAACACCAAATTACCAATCTCATCTGATGTTAAGTGTATGTATAATTGAAAATCTTCTATGCCCTGAGTACCTATCTCGTTAAGGTTGTAGACTTTTTGGGCATAACTAAGGTTGTTTACTTCAGTAAGGGCACTTCGGATCCTCCTTCCGTATAAAGAGTACCTGTCTTACGAAATATTTCCCACTATCACAGAAAATTGCAGCTAAATAACGAATTTTGGGTTGACTTCACTACTCGACGTCCATCACTAACAAGTGTTAGTACATCAGGTAAGGTGTTCCTTATATTTTGGCAATCTTCTTTTATAATTCAAAAGAATGAAAAAAAAATGCATAACTAAGACATTGATGGTAGGCGGCTGTCTTATCCAAAATATGTTTGCCAAACCAATGGTATCTTTAAGCCTTGCCTAAAAGAATTTTTATCATCTGTTATTTTACTTTATTTATACATAAGTTTATTTCATACCTAATTTATTTTGTTTGCATAAAATTTAAAATTGGTTTGTAAATAAACTGATCCAAAGGACGTTGGTGTGCATTTATAAGATTGATCAACATGATAGCTCATAATCATTTCAAGATTGCAATATCACAATTTGTAATCAATGACCACATAAGATACCTAAGCTTATTAACCACATACAATCAAGATAATTATCAATTAATGTTTAGCGCCGCTGTTTACCTACGACAGAAATATATTTTTTATTATGCGTAAAAGACGCGTAGCGTAAAAAGAAATTATCGAAAAATTTAGTAAAAGAAGTTTGAAGTCTGCATAATTTCATAGCGACATAAGTAACCGATCTGACTTATTTATATTTTATATATCATTTTTTTTAATTATTGCGATTTTTTTTGGATCCTAAATAGGGATCATCGTTTATTCCCAAATCTGCCTTTTTCCATGTTTAAGATTTATTTTTGTCAGGTAAATCTCTCGATGAACTTCTCTATGCATGAATTTTATTCTACACATTATAAAAAATAATATTTAATTGTGTAATAAACATATATGCTCGTATTCTTGCATTTAAAGTAAAAAACAATATTGGATAGACAATGTTTTTGTAAAGGAGGAATTTGGTAAACCAAGCGTTTTATAAGTTGTAATTTTCTCACGTCTATTTGGTTTCGTACCATGGGCTGCTTTCGGTGCGTGTCCACGCATTCTACGGGCATCTTGATCATCTCCATCTTATACTTGTATCCGTAGGATGTCAGCTTCACTATGGTATGAAGGGGCACATTCATGTACGGGAGTTCATCTGGAACCAAAATATTGACAGTTAAAAAATGATTTTACCATGCAGTACATTAGTGCGTACAGATCGCAGTTCGCTAAATACTGCAGTAACAAAATCCTGAATATCCTTATACTTTACGAGAATTTTAAAACGAAAAAAATGTGAAGAGAAGGGAATCCTACTTTTCAATATTTAGCGGCAATCTTAAACAATGAAACGTCACAAATCAGAGATGTTGTTATTGAATTTAATCTACATATTGTCGATTGTTTTAAAAGATAATGTATTATTGTTTTGCACTTCTTATCAATTGATTTCCACTTGTATTTTTGACGTCAACAGCATGTTGTTTTTGCACATTTTGGTTGATTATATCGAGTGGTGTCAAGAAACTTTTTAAATATTTTTTATTTGTACCAAAAAGTACATTGCTATTAAAGTATTTTTTTTAAATCAGCATGTATATATGATCAATTAATTAAAATTTTGTAACCTAAACCCTAATGCTTTATTTCTGTAGCCTCACCTACACCAACTGTTTATTTTTTCGTAAACATCAAGTTGAGGTTTGTATGAGGAAAACTCCAAATTTTCCTCATGACTACGTTTACTGTACCAGTGCGAACTTAGAGCGGGCTAGATTTGAATAAATTCGAACCGGTTAAGTAAGTATTGTATTTCTTTCTATAGAGATAAAAGTTAATTAAAAAAACGAAATAATTCTACCCATTATTATTACAACATGTTCTATAAAAATTTGCCTCTTCAACTCTACACCAAAAAGGCCGTCACCTCAGATTACTTTCAAAAGGAACCTTTTGTTCTGTAATCTGAGGTCTGCACCAGGTCAACGCAGTAAAACAGTTTTCATTTATCACCACTACGGAGGTTGTCACATCTGTAATGCCTAAAAAAGTTCTAATAATATTTTATTTTTATTTTTTCAGCATGTAACAGCTTGATAACTGACTGATTGATGGCTAGAAGAATTTCGACGCGGCCATCAGGGCCGCGGTAGCATAATTATGCTACCAATTGATTGACCAATTGGTCAGTGCACTCGTCCGGATAGCGAAGGGTGCGGGTTCGAATCCCTTCTGCTCCCTGGTCCGCTTGGATTTTTTTCTAGTTACATTTTCTTTAAAGTTCTACTTCTCACCAAGTTTAGCGTCGAGGAAGTATCCCAGCATGCAGCGCAGCACGGCCTGGTGTCCGACCACCACCACGTTATGATCGTCCTCCAGCGCAGACAGGACGGGCCGCAGCCGCGTCATGATGTCGATGTACGACTCGCCCCACGGGTACCGGTAGCGCAGCTTGTCCTGGTCGCGCCACGCGAACTCTTGCGGGAACCGCTCCTGCATCTCCTCATACGTCAGACCCTCGCAAATGCCCTGGAACAATGACAAAATCTCATTATGAACAAAGGAACATCAGCAGCTACAACAATAACAGCATCTTGATTTAAACAAAACAACATCAGCTAAAATAAAATAAACATTTACGGCCGCAACCGCACTCGCATTAATTTTTAAGTTTGACTCAATTGAATTAAAACTTGACAGCAGTCCCCTTCACAATAATGAAAGAGCAAAATAAGGAAATACACATGTCAAATCTAGTTTTTCATTTCGAGAATTGTGTAAGTAACATCTGCCCCCGTAGCATGAGCACTACAATTTACATTATATCACGTTTTATATCGCGTCTAACTATCAAACTCCATAGTAATTTGACACTTGAGCGTGATAAAAAAATATACACAATGTTTAAGTATATAGACCTAAATACAAATCATTATTTATTATTTTATAGTCTAGAACATTTTTAATAGAGGTGAGACCATAGGTGAGAGATTAATCGTTTTTAAAACAAAATTAATTGGTTATTATAAATTAATACTCCATATCGATTATTTATAATAGGTATAGGTAGCTACCTAAAACATTTTGTTTCACTCCAAGGTGGTCCAATTTAAAAATAGATTGGAGTAGGGGTGTAGGGCAAAGGTTCAAGTATGAATAGGTAGATACAAATAAGTATAGGTACATTTCTTATATAATTTCACTTCAAGGTGGTCCAATTTAAAATAGATAATACTAGGGGTATAGGGCAAAGGTTCAAGTACGGCGGGCTTATTTACCTAACTTGCAACTATCGTGCCACCGTTTGCTACGGAATTCCTTGACTAATAGGTAGATATCAATGAATAGGTATGTAACATTTCTTATATTATATTACTACAAGGTGATCCAATTGCAAAAAAGATTGGAGTAGGGGTGTAGGGTGTAGGTTCAAGTACGGCCAACCAATTAAGTATATTATCTCTAACCTGCAACTGACTTTCGTAGCGACTGTGTTGTTACAAAATTGCGTGATTATAACAGGTACATACTCAAATAGCCAATTAATAGGTTTCTATATGAGAATGACTCCAAATAGAGCTGCAGCTGCCTGCACACACTCTGCTGCATGTGGAGCTACAGCGCCATTTGAATTCATTTCAGGGGGTTTAGACATATGGCATTCTTTCTATTCATTAGAACGAGAACGCTAACATTGAAATTTTAAATTTTAAAAGCTCAATGATGTTGCATGCTACTAGATGCAAAAAAGGCAGTCAAATATGAGTCAAATTCAGAGAAGAGGGAAAGTACTCCCGTACAATAATATTTAAACTCTATATTATACATATATCGTGTAAAACACTTGAATAGATATCATCTTTCATGTATAGGGGCTCGTTTAAATTCTCAATTCCAGTTTTTATTTATTCTCCGTTAAATCGGTAATTAGAAGACATATTTTTGAAAGCTGGCTAACAATTACATTCCGTTGTATACATTCCACCTACAAACGGACGAACGGACAAAAAAGGCTTAGTTATAAGGTTCCCTAATATTTTTCTGCATTTGACGGTTTATAGATTTGTATAAAGCAAGTTTTAACTACAAAAAATATACTTAGAAATAACAGATTTCATGTTTTTACCTAAAGTATCTAACTAAATAAGAGATCAAAAAACTGGAGTCAACGCGCAATAAGATCGTTTCTTTCAGTAGTTAAAAATATTCCAATGTCACCAGACTAGCGTGAATCACGTTGAAAAAAAAAACTATTAATAGTCCACTTGTACAACAACAGTTGCAATAATTGACTTCAGCTATTTCGCTGAACGAATCAAATCAATAGTACAATGAACGGGCAGGTAAGTTGGTAAGTATAGTTCCCAGACGTCAGAGGAAATTGCCGCAGCATTGCATATTGATGTAGGTTAATATGTACTGTTGCATGTCGCATGTAGCTGTGTTAATAATCGATTCTAGCTAATAGTAACCTGTTTCGATCGTACCACAATGTACGTTTAGTTAAAGACTTATTTCATAGAAATAATGACTAGGACACTGCTATTGATTGCATTTCATAAGGCAAAAAAGGTGTTCGTACCCCTAGCACGAACCATTATCGAATTCGAATAGTTAGCAAACCGAAATGTCAATGTCAAATTTTGTATGGAAACTTGAACAGCAGCGGCACAAAGTACGTAAGGAGAACTAAAAATCAGTACACATTTGACAATGACATTTCGGACTCGCAAACGAGACGAATTCGATATTGGTTCGTGCTAGGGGTACTGCATCTCTCTGTATATCAGCTAAATTACCCATTTACTATATAACAGATTATAACATGGTTTAGGGTTTTTCCTTCAATAAGCAATGAAACTGGAAAATCCATAGCTCACAATAATAATTATAACTTAAAAATTGATAGTAAAAAGGTTACTTCAGGTATTGAATTTGCTACAGCATTCGAAAATATCTTTACTGATATTCCAGTTTCAACTACTAAATCTTTGAAATCTTTTTTGGACTTTGTCACTCTATTTTAAAAATTTGGACAATTCAAAAGTAGTAAGTGAAAGAGATGTAGGTACTATACATCCAATTTGAATAAAGATATATTGATTTCTGATTTAAGATATTTTTTAGGCAAAGCGATAAGTCTTCATCGATTGTTAAAATTGCATCAGAGTCCGTTGCGTGACTTGGATGAGTTAGCGGATTAAACAAACGCGGAAATCTATCTATATAATGGGATATTAGATTAGCTATACTTACTGATGACTAGACGAAGCGACTGCGCTTATCGAATAGCAGCGATTGTATATCAACTGATAAAACATCGATTCTGTGATAGTTCGTCTATGCCTGAGCACTTTAATCAAACCTTTACATATAGGTATATTTTCGCTCTGTACCCTTAACACGCACCAATATTGATTTCGAATAGTTTGCGAGTGCAAAATGTCATTGAAAAATGTGTACTGATTTTTAGTTTTCGTTACGTTCGTTGTGGCTGCTGTTCCAAGTTTCCATACAAAATTTGACAATGACATTTGGTACTCGCAAACGTTACAAATTCGATATTGGTTCGTGCTAAGGGTACTGAATTGTAAACGTATTTTTAGGTACTAACAAATACTCAATTATAATAGATAACTATTATATAATACGCGCCGAACTTTGATAGGCTAGTAATGATGAGGTAACAATTACTTCGTAAGTTTTGGGTGTTATGAACTATTATCTATATAAATAGTAGCGTTATTTGAGCGAAAGTCTTTTTATATCGTTGTTATCATTACAACAACACCTGTAATCTATAATGCAATAATTATTATTTACAACTTTTATAAAAAAACATTCTATTTTAGTTTACCTACCTGAATTCCACCGACTGCATTGATACTCAATATTTTATGCACAGATCAAAAGACTCCGAAGATAATAATGAGATTAATGAGGAGAATAAATAAATTTATGTGATAAGTGTCACGTTTCTGTAAGTTGTTGTAGTTGGTAGTCATACATTAAACGCGTGACATTTATCAACTTTTAACAAATTATCAATTTCCTAATGAGTGATTTCGGAATTATGTAAATATTTCAAGTTGCCCTCTTAACATGTTAAGTAGGTAGATTAATCCGTCTTTTAAGATAAAGAAAGGAAATTACTTTAAAATCGGCTGAGTTACCGTGACTCACAATGTAGGATAATATCTGAAACGAACCTTATCTTTGTTTATAAAGTTTAACGTTAATCCATAACACCTAGGTGATTATGTAGAAAGGCATTCGAGTGATTTAATCAAAGAATACTAACTTTTTTATCAACTGAAAATAAGTAGCTTACTTTCCTAAGTATTTAATCCAAGGTAATAATATATTTCAATAAAAACGGGTTGTAAATGTATTTTGTTCATAAGTTTCTACATGGTTTGGTGTAACCAATTTACATTAGAATTGTATCAGAAACTTTAACCTACTATATAATATTCTTGGACACAGATATCTTTGATGATTTATTTGGCACAAAAAACTGCAGTTTGCTTGCCTGCTGCACTGCAGATGTCTGGGTTTGAAATAGCAGATGAAAATACAATCCACTAAATCCCAGAAATAGCTCTCAAGTTTCATCAGAATCATAATATTATTCTGCTCTGAATATGTATTTTTTTGATTCTACTTAAATGTGTTCAAATAATTTCACTTATCCTTTAATCATAACAAAGTAACTATTATTAAAGCACTGGTCAAGGAAATAAGAAACAAGGGCAGCTAGCTATGAGTAACGAGTAGTAGTTATTTTGAAGACTGATTATTTTTTCTCTTCAAATATAAATTTATCTGAGATCAGATCATGAATCTTTGATTTACCGTATCTTGTTTTCGATCCGAAATGTATAACTCGCTTTATAAAATAAAAAAAAAAGAACTTTAAGGCTTTCTTATAATTCAAAGTTTGGGCTATTGATTTTGCAATTTTAGTCTACATTCACACAACAAAAAAAATGCGAAATGACTACAAAAGCCACAGACAATATCTAAGATAACAACTGGTGCAACAAATCATTATTTATCTATTGTAAAATATTGAGAAAAAATGCAATTTTAATCAGGTTCGTAGTCGTAGCGCGAGTCCTTGATGACTACGGCAGAGCTACGACGTAGCACTCACTACCCACGGTTATTGATTGGATAGTGGACCTTTGTGAAAGTTTTAGTAACACCTAGCATAGCGCCATCGATCATAATACATACATAATTCATTACTTCTTAAGGGTGAAGGACATTTCTATGTTCAAATTACGTTGAAATGCCACTCTATGTTAACACAAAAGTAATTTACAGAGGCGGATTCGTTAATTGCACGCGACCAAAATTTGCCGCTATCAGCGATGAGATCAAATAAACAAATATGTTAGACGGAGCTAGCGTAAAGCCCAGCTTACCAAATGCGCGCAGCACACAGCTGCCGAGGCTATATACTTGGTGCGTCTAAACAACTCGCGGCTGCCCACTGCGTTCTTGAGGTCTGCCACTGCTATTGCTTATATTGCTGCCTATATTTGCTGCAATGCGTTGGATTACGTTACAAGTATAATCATAAACTTACAGCATCCAGCTCGTTGAGCGCCCTCAATGCTCTCTTGGGGGCGTGTATGCCTGCAGCGGTCTGCTTAGTTCTTCTCAGCTCTGACGTCCACACCGTAAGCGGCTGGCGAGTTCCAACCACATTCATATGGTCAGCCAACGCCGCAGCGTACAGTTGCCCGCGCGCAGACAACGACGCGTCGCCACCGATGCGCCCGATCACGTTGTATTCGCTCTCGCCGTGCTGATAACAAAACGGACCCGTTACAAAATCATTCTTCAATCGAACGATCACTTGATCGCTACGCATTATCTTAATCCTGATACTATGCAACAATTCTTTATTGATGCCTTACTTTATCGTATCATTGTTTTACGCATAAATTGCCTGCGGCATAGTAACAAACCTAGCTAATGTAGTTTACTACCTAGTGTAGGTAAAGTAGACCTAATGATGTTTTAACATTGAAAATGTTTTTTCGTTTGCTCCAGTAGGCCCCGATTTTCGCTAAAAGTGCGAGACGCCCGTGATACCCCCGAGGTCCACGAGGACGTATGAATGCTAAGTGAAGACGCGGAATTTGAAAGGCTTTAAGAAGATGTACAAAATAATTTTGGAAAAGTCTAACACCTTTTTTCGATATTGAAAAAAACCGACTTTTTTCGACCGAAAAATCGTGTTTTCACAAAATTTCCGATATCTTGAGAACGGGGCCGAATGTCAAAAATATGATAAAAGCACCTTGATATTGAACCAAGGAACATTTTAGGTCATTACAATTTTTTCGATATTGGTGACGGTTGAGGCTGTAGAGGTGCCCTTAGCCGCGAGTTTTGCTTGGCGCGAGGTGTGATATCACAAGGCAGGCGGCTCGCGTGCGGCTACGAGCACGTATGAGAGCTCAAAAAACGCGTAATCCAAAGGGCTTTAAGATGATGTAAAAAAATTGCAAAAGTTGTTTTTTTTAATTTTGATAATACAAGAAAATATGATTTTTATTTTTAATAATCTATAATAGTTCATTTAAAAAGCCCTTTCAAGTCGTGCAGAGCACGAGATCTGAGATTTTTTTGCGTATTACCTACTTTCTTTCAGACAACGTAGAGATTAGATTTACCTTAAACCCAACACTACACAATAGTGTTGATATCACAGAAATAATCTTGATTTATTTCTGTGGTTGCTATTACCTCTTCGATATATCTAGATGACAACGAACGCATTTGTAGAGGGAAATTAAGAAATTAATTTCCCAAAATTATAGAAAATAACATCTTCATCCTATGTTGTATTTTTTTACAAAGTTAAAAGCACAGGTTATATTTACATGACTGCCAAAAATGGAGTGTGAAGTTTATTTGAGTATTCCATATTAAGTTCTAAATTATTGTCAGCCTATTAAAGTACCCACTACTGGGGCATGAGCCCAGTGCGGTCCCGACAGTCCTGCGGAATTGATCATCCTAAATCCTAACTAAGTCTTTACTTAGTTTTAGTTTAAAAATTTAAATTAAAGGGTTTAGGTATGTCTTTACATACCTAAACCCTTTAATTTAAATCTTTTTAAAAAGCAAATATTATTTATCAAGTTAGGTATATAAGTAAACTGAGATACAACTATCGAGATAGTGACACGCCTCGATATCCAAGGGTGACGAAACAACATCAACATATTGCTAGTCAACGTTTTTTTTAAATACCTAAATATTTAAATGAATAAACTACAACTTCTAAAAATAATCAATCAATTCTATTTTATTTTTATTTGGAACCTTTTTTCATAGAAACAGTATTTTCTAAAACGAATCGTTGTGTATGATATCGTTGTTTAACTTATATTTAACAAGTTGTCAATGTTATACTTCGGCCTTTACGAGTTTGATTCCTAATAAGCTATTAAACGTAAAAACTATCGAAACAGGTATAAATGTTATTAATAGTCCTTTAATCAATATGAGAACTTATTAACAGTTATCGATTCCCACCTTATTAATGTATTATGTACGACATTTAATTACTTGTTTTCTATATCACACGTCTAGAAGATTTCCATGAATTACCAATTCAGATCTTAACGTATCAGTTATGCGTTTATCATGAGTTCAATTTAATCGGAATAGTAATTGCAAACAAGCTTATCTCGTTATGACTAATGCCGATACGGAACTTATCCTATAATATGCTTACGCAATCAAATAAAAATAAATATTGTTAACGCTCACACCAATTATCCTAGCTCCAAAGTAAGCACTGTTTGGCTTGTTTTATGGGATACTAGGATAACGGATCGATAACATATACTGACACATGTATAACTTTATTTATCTAGAAATACATATAAACATCCATGACTTAGGAATAAAAGCTCGTATTCATCATACAAACATTAACCCCACTAAGATTCAAACCTTTGAGTAGTTGACACCTTCAAACCGGGCGTACATACCATCCAACGGAGGTAAATTTATCGGAACCGAAGTCGGAGTCGAAGTTTTTAAATTTAATTTATCGGAGTCGGAACCGGAGTCGAAGGCAGAGTCGTGGTCAGAGACAGAGTCAGAAGTGGTCACAAGAGAGATATTTGTCATTTAAAAACAAATAAAATCACCATTTAGTCAAACTTTTTTCATTTAAATTTACTTATTATTAACACAGACTTCCAACGCGACGGGTATAAACCAGTTCGTAACGGTCGACGCAGGCCGCCGTCGCCATTTGCTATACTTCGACCTCCGATTAAAATCTCCGATTTAAAAGTTTCGGAGCCGAAATCGGAACCGAATGTGTAATAATAATCGGAAGTTCCGACTTAACGGAATCGGAGTAGAAGCTCCGTAATATCCCTGGTACATACTACTCACACCATAAATAAGTATCAAAGGACATGGCTAAGAAACTGCCCTTAACGTGTATAAATATTTCTCACTAGCCCGTAACTTTACAATATTTTTTTATTAATTATTACGTGTTTATTAATCTCATACAACTTTCGTGAAATAATCAAATATTTAAAAGTATAAAAATTGACTTCCATATCTGTTTCAAAAGCAAAATGTTCCGTTTTACAAAATAAATGAACAATAAATATACATAAAATATATATCTGTGTAAGTTTAACGAAAGAAACAATATTATTTCTAAACTCCTTCAAACTATGAGATATTTGGCCCTATTTTTTGTTACAATAAATCACGGAAGGCCTAAAATAATAGATTTTATTATTCTGATTAGGCTTGAGACAAGGCTGTATGATAATTAATCCTTTAATTTTTGCAAATGGACAAAATAAAACTTCACAGATTACCTGTCAGGCCGACGATAACAAATTATTTGTATTTATTTTTGTTTTAAAAAAACTTTTTTTTGAAGAGTTATACAGAGAAATGGGAAGATCTAAGAAAATGCGAAATTGATCACTCTGTAAATAATTGTCAACATCTTTTATCAACTTTAGTAAGGTAAGTAACATAGTAGGAGTTCTCATAATTTTCAAGATTGTGACTTTATCAAAAGTTCCTGAGCCTTTTTTCATAGAAATTATAAATACTTAGCTTTTTACCATTAACTATTACTAAGTTCAGTATTTATACATTGCCAGGGCAGTCGCTCATACAAAACTTTACCATGTCCTTTATAAGGGTTACTTACTCGAGTGAAATACAATGTCTGCGGCAGACCTCTCATTCCAGATAAATATCCGAGGATGCCAGACTCCTTCTGACCGGCGACCTTATGGGCTGTCACAGTTTCCCCAATGTTCTCCACTCTGACGAAACTGATGTCCTCCACTCCAGCGTCGATGGGCTCGTATTGCCTCGAGTAATGCTCCAATTTCTTCCTCAAGTCGTCTACTGCTTCTTCCTCGCTCATGCTCTTATAATCTTCCGAGTAACGAAGTATCTCGATAATGTTTCTCTCGAGCAATTCTTTGTCCTCGCATACGCATTCAATGAACAATATACGGAAACCCATGTCTGACAGGCAATACTCGTACAACTCCCGACGCTGTTGTTTGGTTATGTTCGTGCCATCGAATATCTGAAAAGAGGGAACTGGTTTTCAAGTGAACTACAGAAGCTGCCACTGATGTTACAATATAATCTATAATAATTAATGATGCAAATCAAAGTTGTTGTTGCTTTCACCGTTATTTACTATCTTATCAGGACAGTAGGTACTTGCTTATTAGCAAGTAATTACTTAGAATGAAATGAAAGCTACTTATATGTTATTATCATATTTTTTAAGCTAGCGTTTGTGAAGATAATACTTGTTTTATTATTTAACTTAACATACCTACCACCATGCTACCAGCTAAATCAATATTGTTTTACTTAGGAACATGAAAATATGTTTTCAATGGTGTGGTGGTTCCCAGATACCAGCTATACAGTGATAAATAATTCGTATTCTTATTGGATGTGAAAATATGTTGTTTTGTTGCAAAGAAAATAATTACCCCGACCGCCGGCATCTAAATTGCAATCGCAGATTATACATTTGTATTTATTAAGGATTTAAGACGATGATTATGACAATGATTACTCCCACTAAATAGATATTTAATAGAAGCAATGACACAAACTATTTTAGTACTTAACGGGAGCAATGACACCTGGTCAGTAAAAAAAGGTTTACCATTAGTCCTGATTTATTCGGACACGTTTGTATTTTGTGACAAAAATGTCGGGACTCTAGTTCTACAACGTCCGGGAATTTTGTCAGGATTTTAAAAACTTCTTCTTAATAGTAACCCTAAATAAGAATGATTTTCTTACAGCAACACTGTTCCCATCTTTGAGCCAGAGCACGGCATCTTGCACGGCCTCGCGGGCGCTCTGCCGCCGGATGGCGGAGCCCTGCAGGTTGTCCGCTCGGAAGATGTCGTGGCTGCCGTACAGGGCCATGTGCTGCCGCCGGTACTGGCTGCAGTCGAAAACTGTGCAAGACCAACTGGTGTGAGAACAAAACGTCCATTGGCGTAGCTAGGCAATTTTTACAGACATTGGCAGGGCCGGAATTAAGGCAGGGCTGTGGCCCAGGAGCCTCCATAAGAAAGGGGACCCCCACAACAGAGATGTTATCTCGACGACTATGTTATCTCTAAACCGACGGGGTGCAAATCGCAGCCGTCCACTTATAACATTCATTTTGAAATTAATTTATTAACTGCATTGTTATTTTTTGACACTCGAATTTGAGGGTAGGCAGAGAGGTTTCTAGAATGGACATTTCCCACAATTGCTTCCCCCTAGGTACGACAAAGAACAGACCAACAACTAATTGTTAGGTGGCACATTAGTTAGGTACCAGTTTTACCGCATTTTTGTTTAGCTAGTTCATTCACACGCCCTTGCTCTTACGAATTAAAGGTATTCCTATAATAATTAAATTTCAAGTAAATCGGAAAATGATACGAAATTATAATTTTATAATATTAAATTATAATTTCACTTAACTCAAGTTTTCAGACAAATAAAAATAGGTATATTTCCGACAACAAAAGACCTAAGGATATATGAAAATATATAGGTATAAGTTCAATAGTTTCATTTATACTTTAATCATATCACTTCCTATATACTGATGATAAAATATCAGCTTTGTCAAGGTTTATTTAAGCAAGATGGTTTGATATTTTTATCTTTATGTATGCGTGTGGTATTGAACAAGATGTCGGCATGTCTTCATTTCGAGACAAAATAAAGCGTTATGATTGCATCTGTAAATAGCGGCGTGATCTATGCGTATAGCAACATCGTAGTAGTATCTAGGTCATGGTGCTCAGTCGACATGCATAGACATACAAAGATGTGTTAATAACAAATTGCCTTATTCTAATAAATGGTCTGAAGTGGTCTCAAACCTTTTGTGCTCTCTCCGTTCCAGTTGAGATGTCTTGAGAGACGGTGGGCAAGATGACTCTTGCCTCTCGCCGGCAAACCGACCAGCGCAATTAACAAGGGTGCAAAGTGACTGATACGTCGAGTATGCATGGCCACTGTAAAAAAAGCAATTTAACATTGAATATAATTAAAGTATTATTCAGTTTCTTACCGAAACTGTACTTTTAGTTACGCTAATTTTATTTTTTTTGAGAATCCCACAGCAACCTAACATTTTTTCGGGATAAAAAGTATCCTGTCTCAATCCAGGTCATAACTATATGCAAATTTCAACCAAATCCCTTAAGTGGTTTTTGCGTGATTGAGTTACAAACATGTACATACTTTCAAATTTACAATATTAGTAGGATTTATTATCTTACCGGTTTCATCACAATGTATTTTTTCATATTTGATATTCTTGTGGTATTGTTCAATAAACTTTTTTTAGTATGAAGTATTTTATGGTATTTAATAAAGACATATCCAAAAACTAATAGGAATTTCTTGGATAACAACATCTTCGGCTTAGTGAAATAAAATTTTCCGTAAAGAAATGTTAATTTTTCCACGTGTAGACAAAAGACTAAACGTTATTGTTCTATTACAAAAAACAAGGTAGAGTTGTGAATGTCACTACACGAATATTTTTCATGTACCAACGTTCCGTAGCAAAGTAAATAATAAAAATATGAGAATAGTAACGTAGAGTTAACGTGAGTTTATATGCCAACGACAGATAATGAAGATGATTCGCATTATTATTTATACATTTGATGATAAAGTTATGTTCTCCTGAAGAGAGAAGATAAAACAACAGATTTAGTTAGCGAGCATTGCAAAAGAACATCTTACTTAGTTTAAAAAAACAATAAGTATGTACTTAAGATGTTTTATATGTATTATAATGATTTGTTTTTGGTACATACGTGTTTCTATTCATATAAATTTAGATTGAGATATTCTTATATAATTACTATATTTAATTAAGAAAAATTTATTTAATTTTTAAATTTCAATCGTTAACTTGGGATTAAAATCTTTGCTCATAGTTTCATATTTCTGCCAGCCCCAATAGGATTCTGTGGTATGAAGTACTGTATTATGTTTTTAATATAATTGTGGTTTTAGTTTTTTTTTATATAAGGTGCCTCGATGTCTATCCGGGTCATGTTGATAAGAATTATCATGAATAGTATCTCTTTATGTACATGATTTACCAAATTCAGGTTATTTACTTTATGATCTTATTTAACAGCCTTGGGTTTATAATAATTATATTCACAAATGCAGAAATACCACGACGTCAATGAAACAATACATGTTTTGATGATTCATAATAGTTAATACAGCTGTCTACACTAGATGTAAGCCTTATTTATTATCTCGAAATATTTTTTTTGTGTTTTTTTTCTTTCAAAGCATTATAATCCTACTAAACATAAATTATAAATCAGGCGACTATACGTGTTATCTAAAAGTATTAATTCTGAATGTTAAATGTCCAACCAGTCGGTCGACAGGCTTGGAAAACATTTGCTTACGTACTATATCTCATATCGCTCGCGTGGATACACGTGTCGCGTCGACCAATAAAAAGCGATGTTAGTTGGCGCGCCCACCCATGATATGACTTTTTTATTCCCTTGGACAAATATCTTCAGCATAAGAACATCAAGTTAAATGATAAGTCTACTAAGAATGCAAATTGGAAACTGCATTACTATTAAGGTGATTTGTGGTTGCCAGAAGCAATGTCTATTCCAATTTGATATACCTATCTACATAGTTATCATTTCAACATAGAAATCGTTCACATAATATTTTTTATAAACTTTATAATTTAGTTTTGATTCGATAGTAATCTTTGTTTAGATCCCTCTATAAAAAAATATGCTGACATTTTGTTTTTAGTTTTGTGATAAAATAATTTAAAATTGGGTGTGAGTTTGAGTACGTAATGAGTGCGTGAGGCCTTTTCGTAGCGAGGCATCGTCCGAGTGGTGGCGCGATGCTCTTGCCAACGCGGCACGCAGTGGACTTTGCCCCGACGACCGACAGCTCGCACAAGGAAACGATCAATTTATTTGAGCAGCGAATATAAAGATAGATATCTAAAACGGGAACGTTTGGGTGTTTTGCAAAACTTAATAAAAGTTTTTTCAGATATATAATAATTATTTTTAAAGTTCAAATGTTGTTAAACCAGATGAACTTTCGTCAGGTTTGTAAAATTATTTTCTTCAATTATCTACACTACAAAAAGAACTTGCGCGTATTCGGAAAAGAACTTTTTGTAGTCGTCGTCTGTATGTCCGTCTGTCCGTATGTCACGGGTCTCAGGATCGTAATAGAAATGAGTTACAGAAATGGAATTTTATTATATTATGTAGAATGCTCACCCAAAGCCGAATATTTAGTTAAAAAAATAAATTTTATTATTTTTCACGAAGAATGGCTTACATGAAAATAAGTTGCAAAAAAATATTTTTCTTTTACACCCCAGCATGACACGCATCATTGTCTAGATTTCCTTAAGTGCAATATCAAAATATTTTTTATTATTTTCTATAATAAAGATATGGGGGGAGGGGGGGGGGGGGGGGGGGGGGAAATCGAAACTAGCAAGGAATGTGAATTTTTGGTATATCCCATAAGTTAAACAACAAAAACGCCGATTCTTAATGTACTTTGTAAGTTGTGACAAAAACAAACTAATGATTTTTTCGCGGTTTGTTGTACGGAAGTCTTCGTGCGCAAGTTCGACTCGTATTTGGCCGGTTGTTTTGGTTTGAAAAAAATTCAAAGAGGACTTTGAGCTTGCAACGGATTTGCTTAAAATAACCAGAATGTTCCCAATTTAAAAGTCACGTTGCGTCTCGCATGATTAAATGTTGTTCGCATGATGAAACGTTTAAATGTTGTTCCAGTAATATAAGTGATGCCCTATCTGTTATTTTCAAGTCAACTTATTTGTGAATGATCCTACTTAGATAGAAGAAGGAAAATAGACTTTAGATAATGTTTTATTTATATTATTTTGTTATATTCAATAATGTTTCAGAATTCCTAAAAATTATACAAATAGTAACAGTGAAGGTACTCAATTATTACCTATTAATAAACATGTATTTATTAATGTTTTTTAATATTTTTTTTAAACACCAAATAGCCTAGCCCCAAAGTAAGCACTATAAGGCTTGTGTGGGATACTAGAGTAACGGATAGAATACATATACTGTACATATATAAGTATATTTTACAGTAATACATATTAAACATTCACGACTGGAGTACAAATGCTCGTATTCATCACACAAACATCTGCCCCCACCGGAATTTGAACCCGGGACCTCTCGAGTCGGCAACACCATGTTACCCGGCGTACAAACCATTCGGCCACGGAGGTCGTTAAATTAAAACTATAAATCTTCCGTTAGCTTGAATGATTTTATTGATAGTAAATGACATTTAATTACACTGATTAATTAAATGTCATTTACTATCAATAAAATGCTCTTGGATGCATTAACAACGAGTCACAATGACGTATTAGAACCTTAAGAGAAATCATGGTAATTGAGTCTTAATTTGTACAGAGAATTGAGTTTATAATTTAATTTGTTTTCAATTCAGATTAGTTATCCATTTACAATGAGGCATTTAATAAAACATGACGTCAACTTTATAGCTAACCGATATGAAATTGATTAAATTTATTTAATTATTGCGTGTACGTAAGGTAAATATTGTTATGTGTCGGGATAGGGTTGGAATTTATAATGCCAGTTCACGCTTGACAGTTCTTTATTTATCACACAGTTTACGCAGTTCTTCCTTGATCACACAATAATACACTCGCTGTTCCAATACAATAGCACACAAATACTTTACTTGCACTTTAGTTCGTTGTGGTTGTAGCCTTTGTGTTCGTTGCGAAATCGCTGTTGAAACTTAACTGTCTCTGCTCAGCGCCGGACGCCCTTATATACTCCAATCGACGCATTCCAGAGGGGTCCAGTCCAATTAAGAGACATACAGAAAGTAATCTCCTATTAATAATGCAACGCTAAAAGTGTAGGTAATCTCATGTATGTACTTCACTATGCATACCTACGTACAGCGGTCAATTGTCAACCTCGGCTTATGCACAAAAAACTATTGTAGTAGTTAGTGGAGGAGATAAGACTATTACCATGATTTCTCTTAAGGCTCTAATACGTCATTGTGACTCGTTATTAATACATCCAAGAGCATTTCATTGATAGTACCTACATGACATTTAATTAATCGGTGCAATTAACGTAATTCATTCAAGCTTACGGAAGATTTATAGAGTTTTAATGAATAAAAAATATTCCATTAATAAATACATATTTATTACTATGTAACAATTGAGTGCCTTCACTGTTTCTATTTGTATAATTTTTACGAATTCTCACATAAAACATTATCTAAAGTCTATTTTCCTTCTTCTATCTAAGTAGGATCATTCACAAATAAGTTGACTTGAAAATAACAGATAGGGCATCACTTATATTACTGGAACAACATTTAATCATGCGAGATGCAACGTGACTTTTAAATTGGGAACATTTAGGTAATTTTAAGGAAATCCGTTGCGAGCTCAAAGTTGGCTAGGGAACCCTTATGGATTCGTCATGTCTGTCTGTCTGTCTGTCCGTTCGTATGTCACAGCCACTTTTTTCCGAAACTATAAGAACTATACTGTTGAAACTTAGTAAGTAGATGTATTCTGTGAACCGCATTAAGATTTTCACACTGAAATAGTAATAAAACAATAAATTTGGGGGGTTCACATACTTAGAACTAAAACTCATTCTTTTTAAATAAATTATGTATACATATAAAAAATATATGTCAGACACAAAATATATAAAATTATATTATGAATCATGGTAATTTTTAATATCTATAACATTTTAAAATTATGTAGCATATAAAAAGATTAAAAAAAAGAGATATTTTCTCTTTTTTATTTTTCTTTTTAAATACTACACAGAAGTAACTTTCAACCATGAAAAGTGGAATTGTAGATGTCAAGCACCTCAGTATTTTTCCTTTAAAAGACTTTGTATTCTCGGCACATTCTATAAATTGGATTATAGAAAGATACTTTATTACTACAGAGAGGAACGCTAAATTGAGGACAGATCTTTCAGACATCAGGGTCTAGCGATTTTGGCTAACCAATTATATATTTTTGCTATGAAAAATACGATTGCTTTGCTAAACGTTTAAAAAACACTGCTTATTTAGTAGCAAGCGCACTTTGTCGTGACTTGCCATTATTCTATTGATAAAATGGCAATTATACATGCCATATATCCATGCCTCCATTAACTGTCGATATCTGTTAAAATAGTATTAACGAGTTCCGTTTACATAATTCTAAAATCTGCTTTGTAAAACTTATTTATTTGTTTGTACAGAAAACAGAACATACATACAACACATCATATTATTCGAATTGATTTCCCTCAGAAAATCTCTCATTGATTGAGCTCAAGGGCGGATCCAGCTTTGGCGCCAGGGGGGAGGGTCATATAGCCAGCTTTGGCGCCAGGGGGGGGTCATATAGTCGTGGTATATTAAATATTGAAAGTCCTTAAATAAAATCCCCCTGGGTTTGGTCCATCTGTACCCAGCCCAGGGGGGGTCATGACCCCCATGACCCCCCCCCTGGATCCGCCCTTGATTGAGCTAAGTGATTTTGTGGTAAATAAGTAGTTAAACTTATTTAAAGTTCACTGTACCTATCCAATCTTTTCTTCTTATGTATTACCTATTTACCTCATTTTCATGTCATTATTATGTTTATGCAATACAAACTTTATCATAGGTGCCTACCATTGGTTAATGTGATAGAATTTTGAAGTACACGAGAAAAACAACTTTATCAAGTTTTGTTCATATACCTATATACATTTTCATGTATGCCAGATAAACATTGAAGTATATTTAGTAAAGCCTTCTTTATGTACCTAGCAACACTCCCACTGATACTAGACTGGGGGGTATAATGATAAGCGAACGAACATCAATTACTTTTATTATTACACTTGTAGAGCTTATAATCTTTAAAATGAGCGATTATCAGAAATATTCAGGTAAAAGATATATAACAAATAATCAAAGCATCATCGGCAAGAGGAAAACCTAAGGATGTTTACAAACGGGCACCTGCGCAAGGTCTCTTAGTTTGGGGGCGTGGCTCTACGTCACAAAACATGGCCAGACTGTTAAACACGCTTAACGTCATTGTATCTTCTTTGGAAGCTCGTGCTGTTCAAATCATTTTGACAGAAGTGCCTCTAAAATAGTTTGTCCAAAAATACAATACTTTGTATGGTGACCTTTTTCCTCACGCGAAACTTTTAAAATAATTTCTTGAGACCATCTACATTTTGTAGAAAGGTAGGTACTTGCTACATTTTTGAAAATAGTTTGTGTATTGCACGATTGCGTTCAAAGTTTTGTTTACGTTAATACATTTTAACTGTCGGCTTAGTTACATTATTTGAAATTAATTTAAGATTTTCTTCTCCTGTAAAAAATATTATAATATCGGAATTCTATAATGACAAAGAATGTGATTTAATTATCGCAGCTTGTATGATACGACACGAACTCTGACTTTGTTACATATCTAAATGTAAGTACACCCATGCCACGGAAAACTACTTTATTGCTACAGCTCAAGGGAAAGTGGATGATAAAATTAATTGCATATTTCTATCACTAACCAACGTGACTCTTTTGACATAAAATCTTACAGAATTTGAACAAACAGGGATAGACAGATTTTATCCAAAAATATAAGAACTATTTGTAATAAGGGCAAATGCCGTAAAGAAAGCTTTTGTATTTTTTGTGGATTGAATAATTTGATTATCAGCTCTTTAATACATTTATGGTAATTTATGCATTGATTGATTGACTATCTTAAGATAAGATTTTCTTTTATTTTAATAATATTTACAACTTACTGATATTTTTGTCTGTGGATTAGAGAATTTATGTATTAATTTCGTGACAGAGTAATTGTAGCCAAACATTTATTAAGACTGGTAAGCTTTTGCCAGCTGTTCGGCATTCACTACAAGGTACTGATACTGGCTAGCTGCCATGGTGTTCTGACAAACTGTCGATTGTGATTTAATAAAACACTCTTCTTTTCGGAGCGTGATTCGTTTTTGTCTAAACACATACAACAAGGCTAAAACGACAAGGATTCAAAAGCGCGTTTGATTTTCTTAAAGATATCTGACAAAAAGAGATAGAGAATCATAAGTAATAGTTAGGGATTTTATTATTATTATAGACATGAATACCAGTAGCGAAGAATTGTTGCTTCACTTTATTGTTTTTGTTCATGACACTAAATTACATGAAAATGCAATTTTTAACAATATGTGTTGTTATTCGTAAGGAAAAATAAGCATAAGCAGCCTACGATATTATAGGAAGTTGGAACTTGTTCGTCATCAATTTGATGAAGTGTTGCAGGTAAATTTAAAATTGTTAACTGAATATTTATCGACCTTCCTAATGACAAGATTTATAAGGAAGTTATTGAGCGGAAGAGAACGGTGGCGCTCTATTGATCGATCTCCAAAAAATTATTGTAGATTGTTTATTTTTCTTACATTGTAAGCCTCCTCCACCGGCTCCTTTGTTGTTAAACAGTTTCATCGTGTTCTTTTTATATGAATACATTTTCTTTTTTATTTTTGTTACTGTTTGACCCGCACTTTTGACACAACATAAGCGAGAAATTATGTATAGGAAACAATCACAAACTATATCAAGGATACCTGTTGCTAATTACATACATAACTTCACTGAAAGACCACATTATTATTATGAAGAAGCGGCTGGCTTTACCGGAAAAGTAAAACTGAAAGTTTTCGTCGAGTTATATTTACTTGGAAACATTGGCACATGAGTTTTAAGGTCAATGCAAAATTACTATCACTTTTTCGCTTTGTTTTTGTTTCAACTCACCGGTAGCGTGGAGGGTTTTCTCCTTGTCTTCCATCATGGCGTGGGCGGTGCTAGCTCCCGGTGCCATCACTATTCTTCTGAGGGAAGGTCTTCTAGCTAACGCGACGATGTGCTTAGAGCGATGCTGCTGCTGCGACTTGCGGCGACGCGTGCGCACTCTGTGAAGGCCTCCAGGCGACTGTACGCTTACTCCAGCAGTTATCACCGAACAAGCCTTATCAGCTCCACGACAGTGATTACCGAACACCCATATAATGGCCGAATACACTTTGCAGTAAATAAGCCATAAATAAATATACCAATCGCCTCGGATGCTGAGTAACGCCATCAAATGCGATCTGAAACAAAAGATGCGTTCTTGTATTAGGTAGCTCTTTGTATTGTTAGAAGTATACTGGGTGATTAGACAAGCTCTAAATATATGTAGTATTGATAATATACTGGGCCTATTTCTGGGTTAATTCTCTAAACTTAAATCTTTTGTCAACACTCTCTCCTATTTATTCATTATAGAGCATGATTAAGACATACTATTTTCAAATTTAGTTTTAGATTTAGAGAATCATGCCAGAATCAGGACTATTACATGAGACATGAAAATAGTCCAATTGCGTAAATAGATACGTATCTGCTACTACTTTTAAATATATAAAGAATTGAGGTTTGATTAATCACAAGTTAGGGAGAAACTTGAGATTTTTAAATCTCATACATTTAGGCTTCTTGCCTTACGAAACAAAACTTTTGTGAAGGCGGTGAAAATTTAAAAATCTCATACTTTCTCGCTACTTAGTTTACAAAACAAAGTTATTTGATGATATTAAAAACTAAAAGTTAAGACATTCATCAACAGCCTATTAATGCCCCCAGACCCCTCTTTCCCAGTGGGCACTTTGGGCAAGTGCCCAGGGCCCCGCGATCGATAGGGGCCCATCTCAGATCAAATACAAATTCCCTAGTTCCTGTTAGATCACCAAACGGGGGTCATAGGGGCCACATTATCCTAATATGCCCAGGGCCTCCAATAGTTCAAAGACGGCACTGTGCCCCCACTATTAGTACATTTAAAACAAAATTTACATTTGGTTTCGGTTCCAAACCCAAATCAAAATGTGAGTGGATTTTATATTGGTAGCGTCATGATTTTATGTAAATGTTAAATGTTGATGAGTTCCTTGGGCCCATTCTTCTCATCAGCTAAAAGATGTTCTGAATATGTTAGGAAAAATGTTGGACGATTTAAAAGATCTTTCAATAAATCAATTTGAATAAAGTATAATTTCATTCCATTTCAAACACTATGCAAGCAATGCGACGATTTGATATAATTAGGAGAAGGAAGGGAAAGTAACTCAGATCTATCCAAAGACCAATCAGGCGTACATGCAACTGCCTCCAAACTATTATTTAAATATAAGTAGGTAAGTAGAGAATCTGTAGATAAAATGTTCTACATTTGTTTAACCGACTACAAAATAGTATATTATTATCTAAAGAAAATATAACTAGAAATGCAGTTACATGCTTTAAAAATAATAAAAATTATAGTATATTATTTCTTTTTAACAAAACAAAATTAATAGGAACTTGTTTTGGTACGTAGATGTACTTGAATAAATTCCTATTAATTTTGTTACTTAGTATCCACCTATAATTTGATACAACAAGATAATATAATATAATCTTTTTGCATTAGATTAACCAGCCAGACACCTGGGCTGAGTGTATTTTTCTAAAAGTAATTTTTGTCTTTAGTTAAGATATAAAAATGAAACAGTTTGGTCCTTAATATTTTGAAGAACCTATTTAGTAACAATTAACGTTCAACAGTGTTTAAGAATTATTCTCTTTCAATATAAGCAATTTTAGTTGGCTTAAGTCTGAGAACCGGCTTAGCTTAATATTATGTTAGACTATGTTGTAAGTTGCCATTGACGTAAGTTTGCTCTCAAAAATTTCCACACAAATAACGTTCTTAGAGTGAAACATTCATAACATTAAAACATAACCAATGATGCTGATGAAAATTTAATGGTTTAAACACCTTTGAATTTTGAATCTTGTATCCTTTACAAAAAGAGTTATTAGCGTAATATAAACATCCACGCACGCACACCAACCAATCAATAAAACACTGGATGGACATATGCAATGGGTATTCACGAATGGTAATTACTCCGGTTTTCAAGGTGTCGCCTACTCAGAGGTCCCGAGTTCGAATGCTGGTGGGGCAAATGTTTGTGTGATGAATACGGGCATTTGTAGTTTGTTCCTAAGCCATGGAAGTATATTTGTATTTCTAGATTCTATGCATACTAGGGTAACGGATATAATACATATAATGATATATATGTATTATATCCGTTACCCTAGTATGCCAAAACCAAGCCTTATAGTGCTTACTTTGGGTTTAGGCTAATTGTTGAGAGTATATGAAATATGAATTATTATTTCATTATTTTTCATTATTCCTGACGTTACAGAATTCGAAACCTTTACAAACTTCATGGTCGCAAGACTTTTGTTATTTTTTTTAAGGTAAGTAACTAAACTATTATCTAGTTCTTTCAATAATTGTCTTACAAAGATTCGACCGTAGAAATAGTTATAGAAACTTCTAAAACAACTGCTTTGTGTACAGAAATAACAATGATTAGTACAATAGACAGACAACTGACAGGTTTCCATTCGAATTCATGGACATGGAATACAAACCGATGGATTGCATAGTTTTTAGGGTTCCGTATCCAAAGGGGTAAATACGGAACTCTATTTCTGTCGCCTGTCTGTCTATCTATCCGTATGTCACGTGTCTCTAGATAGTAAATGGAATGAGTTATAGAACTTAAATTTTGGTATTTTATGTAGAATGCTTGCCCAAAGCCGTCCCAAAGTACCAAAAGTAGATAGGGATTTTATTGAATGAACACAGTTGTATCAGCTCAACGTAATGTGTAAAAAGTTTATGTAACCTTTAGAACTATTTGTGTATTCTGTTAGGTGGATACACATTAAAGCTTTAGGAAAGTTGACGTAAGGTGTTGTTTAACCAGACTTTCTCTGCAGTTGAACAGTTTTGTTTAGTAGTTTTTAAACACTTCAATTGTGTTCAATTTAAAATTTACTTTAATCGGAATAAGTTTTGGTTTTTTGCCATATCAATAATCAACTGTTGGTAAACATGGTCGGAACGACGAAGCGTATTTCACTTAAATACTCTTCTGAAATTCGTGATAATATCATTTTACGAGTGTATTAGGATTACCGAAACAAACAGATTCGACGAATTCCATTCTTTAGAAATAGAAGGGCGCATGCAACTGAGTTTTTTTATAGATAGGTCTGACAAATGTCTCCACCCCACCTGATGTTAGGTAACAGTGAATACCAGACGTGAAGATAGCTGGTACGGCTGTTCGTGTAAACGTAATTTATTGGTCGTCGCGTCTCGTATAAAAAAAACTAAGAACACCCCCAAGTGCAACCAGAACAAGAAATTGCAATGCATGAAATTTAAGTCGGTTAATCTTTAGTTTGTGTAAAGACCAAGTTATTTTGCAGATTTAGTCTTTAAGATTTTTTTATACATTTGACAACGTCCGTGTTTTCCGAAGAGGTTATATCAATACGTCCAACCAATCACCGAGACGCTCGTACCGTAACCTCAATTTAAGATGGGCGATCCCATTCATGGACCAGAATATACTCACGACCTCCTTTTTGAAGTAGGGTAACTTGGTAGGTTTCGTATTTCTGCTGCCTTAAAATTACTTTATCATTAGTACTTAGGTATACTTACTACATAACTGTTCAGTCACAATAACATAAGTAAGTATGTTTAATTACATTAAAGTTGTATCGTATCTCATAACTAAGCCATCTTAGTCAATACAACCATTGTCACTTCGTTGGTATATTTTATACTATCGGCTTATGCCCATTTTAATCCCTTTGTTATACATAATATGCTGTCAGTGTTACGTATTTTTTTTGTACCGATGAATAATGTATTTCATTGCATCATTATCATGAGTTTGCTTTAATATCATAATAACCAGGAACATTTCATTCAATTAATGTGACATCTTTATATTTCATGCTGCATGAGGCGGCTCATGGGCCTCAATTATTCATATTCTGATTAAGCGGCTTCTGCCACTTATGAAGTTACGTTGAGAGAAAAAAATCGATGCAAACATAACTTTTGCAACGTCATGTATTGACACCAGAATTGACGATTAACAATTAAATTTTAACACATCTCTATTCTAATAGACAAGTCCGTCCCGTCCGTGGTGCTGTTTCAGCGGCCAAACCGTAAGAGATAGATATAGAGAATGTTTAAGTTATAAGTTAAGAATAGTCTGATAAGACTACAAACCGGATGTGAGTAACGTAGCACTTCCGGTTTTCGAGAAATCACGTGATTTCTATTTTAAACGAAACCACACAAAATCTCCGAAGTTCTCAATTAATTAAATACATTTTTTTTTTTGGTGAACAATAAATTCACTGGTTTGCGAGTTTTTATTTAATTGTAGAAGATGAATCAGTGTATGAATAATTGAGGGTTAGGCCACTTTTGGCTGACAGCCTCAATTTATCATATGGAAAAATGCTACTCTCTTTTGTTTTTAACCTAATATCATTTCTTTACTTATGTGCTAATATTATTACGGGAAAATTTGGTCTAAAGAACTCATAATATGATTTTTTCTCAAAATTTAATAGGTATATTTTCCTCGGTTTGCAAGATTATCGTCGAACCGCAATAGCAGCAACAGCTATTTGTTTACATTTTTTTGTTGTACTAATAACCTCATTTTCCTTACCTTGCTTCTCTGTCGACACGAAATTAGGTATCATAGTTACAAGTACCGATCCTACGATGAAAATATGAACATTTTGTAGAGAAAGATAATTATTTCTATAAAATAATACTACATCGGAGAAAACCTATATGTTCAAAGTAAACTAACAAACAGAACACCAAGATAAATATACTTCTTTGTTCAACTAACTTTATTTGCAGAAAACTTTTTATTTCTTTATTTGTATTGTAGATGTCCTGGACACATAATGCTCCAAGTTTTGTGTTCCCTCGCTATTTCGATACAGAAAAGACGGAGACAAAAAGAACACAACATTATGAAGTTGCCGTCGGCATGTTTATTTATCTAGGACGCGTTTGTAAGAGAAATTTTTCAGGTTAAACACAGCAATGACGTGTTCCCACACTTTGCCAATAATTCTACGTATTTTCTACCTATTTATTTTTATTATTCGGGAACCGTATAGTTTTCTTCTCCTCGTTAGCTGAAATTATGTCCTGGTTAGATATACCGAGAATCAGTTCTGGTTTTAAATGTTTTGAATCAGATAATGAGTACTTACATAAACGTTTATCTCTACATTTTAGTTTGAAAACTAAATATTGCGTGTAAGTGCGAATAACGGCTATTCTTCCTGTTTTTATTTGGAAAGGGAGCGTGAATGCTGTGCTCACGCTTTTTTGGTATTTGTTAAACTTTTTTCGTTACTGAAACAATATACTGTTAAAAGTTATTCAACAACTTTTAACAGTATATTTCATTTACGATAAATGCTTTTCTTTGTTGGCTTTGTTTACTTCTTTAGTTTGAATGTGAATAGTTGTCAATAATTTGTTATTATAACAGATTTGACAACTGGTTAAAACTGAATTTTGTCCCCGTATTGTTTTCAATTAAGTTAGGTACTTATATAAACTTAGCATCCTGTTAAACAAAATGGTACTTATTAGTCAGATGTTACGCATTGCTGAAATTAAATTCCTATAAAAGGATGTTCAAAAGAAAAATAAAAGTAAATTTGCTAGTGTATTTTATTCATTGAAGTACTATCATTGTTTTTTTTTCGATGAACATTTAGGCATAAAAATTATGACTAAGTAACTGTAAGTAACATTCATATTTGTTATTTTTAACATAATTTCAGAAAGGTTTGGATTCTTAGAGCAGCTGAGTTAATGTTTAACAAAATTCTTTTGTAATTTAATGACTACTGTTAGCTCGGTCGAGTTGTTTTCCTATGCGTCGACTACGTTAGCATTATTTATTGCTATATAATTGGATAGCTATGTAATGTCTGTTGTTTCTTATTTAGAATTGCCCAATCTTATATTGGCATCAAACGAAACTTCTAGATACTTATTTTATTGTCCAAGGTTGTTCCATTTATTAAACAGGCAGTAATAATTCGATGTTTAACTTTTAGCTTAATATCTTCAAATCGATTCATATTTTTGCTGTGATAGTTCGCTGTATTCAATAGGCTACAAACTTACCCTTTAAAGTAACTAAAGTCTTCCTTCGCAGTAGTGATCAGAAGATGTGTGTCTTATAAAATGCACCAAATCGTGGCGCATAGCAGTGCGCCCGTGGATTGCGATGAACGTTTCAATACACATTCGCAACAAGTCCCAAGTAACGTAGAAAGTCAATTTGTTAATCAACACTTTCCCCCAACATCTCGTCGGGAATATCACACAGTAGGTATACAGTTTGAAGCAGTCCTCTTCACTGTTTGTATACAAGCAAGTCCAACAGGAATATAATATGGCGCGCGGTAGCTTACTTCACACCGGATCTTATTTTTCTCATTTTAATTGCGAACGAAAACACTGTTTGAGGAATCGGGATCACAAACAAACTGGGAGCTGGTTATGAGTTGTGTATATGAATACACGGTGCGACGCGGAATGGTCGTACTGGATGGCACGATAACGTTGACTGTCGAGTTGAGGTGAGGTCGTGTGTGGTTGCAGCGTGGCGAAAGCGAGATAATGTGGCAGGGAGCCGGCAATGAGCACGCGGCCGTCGTGTGGCATCGATTCTCGCTCGGCTAGCTTCGGAGCGGCGCACTGCGCGTATTCCCAGTCCCTCCGACTGGCACAAAATATTGTCCACAACGCAGTTTTATTGTGCATAAATGCATCAAACAAGATTCGACGTCATAAACAGGTAATAGTCGAACGCACAATACCACAAAGGCCAAGGAACACAAAGAACAAGACGCAAAGTTTTTAAATGAATGTGTCGGAATCTAAACTTTTAAAAAACCCATCATTAGTGGTTAATTGGAGACAAATGTAACTGGAACACCAGAAAACTTTGCTAATTAGAACATAATCAAAGTTATTAAAGAGGTTATCACTTCACTAAATGGGTTTCGAACTTTGGATGGCATTGATGATGATCAATGATGACGAAGCAGAAATCTTCTATATTTCTTCTTGAGACGAGTGTTATATAAATTTATCTAGGCATAATATTTATTTCTTGCATAATCGCATTAAAGTCGAATCCTTATAAGACCGAGGGCATAGACTGCATTACATCATGACTAAAGATTACAGGGCGAATGAGCATGAACCTTCAATGAGCTTACATACTACACACACACTACCGGGATGATTGATTGGAATTTGTTGCTCAGAGATTTCTTCTGTAAATATTTTCAGCAGTGCTTCGCAAGACCTTAATATGGCATTGGGAATGTTCAATTTTTATAATTTTGTTTTGGATTTAATACTAGTTCTTATCATATTGCGTATCAAAACTATAAACTTGGAAATCTCTTATCTAATAGACAAGTCCGTCCGTCCGTCCGTGGTGCTGTTTCAGCGGCCAAACCGTAAGAGATAGATATAGAGAATGTTTAAGTTATAAGTTAAGAATAGTCTGATAAGACTACAAACCGGATGTGAGTAACGTAGCACTTCCGGATTTCGAGAAATCACGCGATTTTTATTTTAAACGAAACCACACAAAATCTCCAAAGTTCTCAATTAATTAAATACATTTTTTTTTGTGAACATTTGGTTCACTGGTTTGCTAGTTGAAGTATATTATAATAAGTCTATACTAATCAATTAACCTCTCATCTGTGAGGGGTCAAGCGCGCCACTAAGAAAGTTAATTTTGAAAATACATTTTTGATATGGAATACAAGGAAAAAACAAACTTCATTTCTAGAATTCAGGGAAAAAGTGCTTCAAGTAAGACGGAAGAAATTCAGATTCAGTATAAACAACTACTTACCCAATACCGTTTCCGATTCAATAGCATCATTAACGAAGCCACATTCACATTTTTGATGTTGGTCTCGTCTATGTTTTAGTCCTTACCTGCCTTTCTTCTTTAAGTTTCCGATTTTCACCGTAACCCTTGATAGTTAGTTGAAGCTGAAAAGGAAAAGCTACTAGCACATTCTTTGTCTTTATTATAGTGCAGAGTTCGGAGACTGTTTTGTTTTAATTGTAAGTACATTAGACGAATAAACTTTAAAAGAAGTTTCACTTGGAGCTGAAGTTACAGAAATAATGATCTCATTTTTTTAACACATCTAACCAACAGAACCTCTATCTTTAACCACCACGTTCTGAGGTTTAACCCAAAGAAATAGTCAATTTCTGCGAACCAACCGTGATTTTGGAAACACGCCATGCATTCTCACAGCTAAAGCAGTCATAGGATAAACCCAATTCACTTTTCCAGTACCTAATTTAATATATTCCATTGTTGTCCATTACCTATCGTATTTAAAAAATATTACCTGCACCATGACAGCCAATATCAGCTTCTATTTTAACTCGTCGTCTCGTAACTACTTAGTTATTGGAAAATGGCTGAAAATTTTCCATTGAAATGCCAGGCCATTATTTTAGGTAGTTCCCGTCAATTGGCTTTGCTAGATTCAAGTAACTTGAGCTCGATATTGTACCACGGTAATGTTAACCAATATCTTCCTTGTGTTAAGAACCTAGGTTTACTTATCGATGCTTCTCTCAGTTTGGAAGAACATGTTAATGTAGTTAGTCGCAATGTAATTACTTTGAGCACTATATCGGCTAAAACACTTTTTCCCTTTCAGTACCAAAGTCGCACTCGTTCAGGCTCTTATTCTTCCCATCCTCGACTACGCTGACATCTGCTATTCTGACATCAATCAAAACCTTCTTATCAAATTAGATCGTTTGCTCAACATCGGAATTCGTTTTGTCTTCGGGTTAGGTAAATACGACCACATCTTTCCTTTTAGAAAAAAAAACTTGACTGGTTGCCTATTAATGGCCGAAGAAACTTCAGATTACATTGTATGCTTTACAACCATTTATACGATCCACGTGCTCCAGAGTACCTGCAATCTAGATTTATATATCTGGGCACTTCCAACCATCGTGAGCATTAATCTGGCTTTGGATCTAAATTTTTCACTGTTACTGCCATACGGCTGTGGAATGCTCTACGACGTAGTGTAGGCTGTGGAATGCTCATTCCAAGCATTCGTAGCTCTAACAATAAGGTGGAGTTCAAAAAACTAGTGCGTGAACACTACCTTACCTGACTACGTAATCTCTTTTTTTATTTATAGTTTGCATCTATGTATATTATATTTATTGTATTTTATGTATGTATATATTTATATATGTATTTTATGTAAGTAGTTTATGTAGGTATATCAAATTTAGTATTAAAGTATTAATATATTTCATCGTCGTTATTATCTAAATGTTTATTATAAAGCATTTTGCCCTATCGCCATACCATTTTTCTTTAACACTCGATCAGGTTGACTGGTAGAGAATGCCTATGGCATTAAGTTCGTCGTTTGCATGTGTATGGCAATAAAGTTTAAATAAATAATTAAAAACTAAGAATTCCTTACTTAGTAGTTCGCAATAATCGAAAGCATTTTTGACCATAATTTCCAGTGATTTCAACGCTGAATACAACCAGTGACCCGCCATCCTGACAGATACCGAAATCGAGAAATATCATCATCGTCAACCTATTAATGTTTCCACTGCTGGGGCACAGGCTTTCGTAGTGGATGGTATAAGGAGATTGGGTCGTGACCACCCACGCGGGCCCAGTGCGGATTTGTGAGTGCTATCGACTGCTTCCAAAGCTCAGAGGAGCTCGAGATATTAAGATTTTGGTTACCCATCCAATGACCGACTATTACGAAAGTAGCTTATCTTCCACGGTCGCAGACCGCGCGCTAACCACTTGCGCCATCGAGCTCATAGAAAGAAATTCATCGAGAAAGAAAGTGAAAATTCTTGAGAAACATCAAAACATTGAAATAAAACGATTTCAGTACTTTAATTCTTGTCCTTTAAGTACAGACACAGACAACGATACCTACTTGGATTGTGACTTACAAAATTCAAGATTGGAATAAATGGCGTACAATTTTATAGCGACACTTACTTTGAAAATTCCCTTAAACTTTTAAATCCCAGATTGGAGGACCCGAAATATTTAAATTATTCATTCCGTTCCTGCTACGAGTCCATACATAGTTGAACGAACTCGTAATGTAGACTGAAAATGACCCTGAACGACTAAAATAGACATAACTACTGGGTCGATTCCAAAAAAACATATATATTACAGTGGAAAATTTCTAACTATCTTTTTACTAGGTCTGTCTTTAACCCACATTGAATAAGAAAAACTCATGAGTACATTTCATAAAACTGGACTTTGCACTTTATCCCAAAGCGTTTTGAGTTTATAGAAGGGGATCCCAAGCAAGGATTACGGGATGTACTCGAGCGCGACAAAATAACATAAGGTGCAATACCTTGCACCTTATGAGGTACTCCCACCATACCTGAGCCCTTTATGGAGGGCCGAACGTAAAAGACACAAAAAAAATCGGTAAACGACGGGTTCACGACTACATAATAATAAAGGAAAAATAAAACAGCCCTTGCTGAGTTTCTAGCCGGTTCTTCTCAGTACAAGGTCTCCCGCCGTAGTTTTGGGAACCGTGAAGCTTCTCGACTTCACAATTGCTTCTAACAAAAGCCAAGACTGAAAAAAATATTTTTGATTTTGTTCTCAATGTTTGACGGGCTCAAATATTTTTTTCTATATATTTTAGTCTTTCGTACGGCCACCATGCCAACAGACAGACAGATCAATATTTATACGTCACTAGCAAACCAGGCGAACTCCGTTTCGCCATCAGATGGCTTCGTTTTATGTAACATTTCGTTTGGTGATTAAAAGTTTTTTTTTTTTGAAATTTTTCCTGAATTTTCTTTGCTATAAACCTCACGGAGCCCGAGACCTTTCCAACGAATGCAAAACCGTGGAAATCGGTTCGTGCGTTCTGGAGTTATAGCGTCAGGAAGGAAAACCCGACTTATTTTTATATAGTAGATTACAAATGTTATTTGAACCCTCCAGTAGCTTCAATTCAAAAGCCTGACGATTTGGACGCGACTAAAAGTCATGGCCGTCTGTTGAAATTTTATTTTTGCTGCCCTAGACGTTCGACTCTATTAGGGTATCAGTTATGGTGGGAATACATCACAAGGTGCAAGGTTGCCCCCCTTATTTTATTCTGCCGCGCTCGAGTAAATCCCAAAATGCCCGCTAGGACTCCTCTACTATTAACCACTTTCATTTATCTTTCTTTGTTCAAAGCAGCGGTTGTATTGGTGGGCTATTGCCATTCCGTGGAATATGGAAGAAAAAATTACAATAATTTATTTCACTTAATTTAATTAATGTTTTACATTTTTATCTGCAAGAAAAAAATACCGAAAAGAAATGGGGCCAAGGTTCAAAAAATAAGGAATCCAGCCCGCTCCTAGAGGGGTGATTCCGTGAAATAAAATCTCATTTTCGAGTTCGATAGCTAATTAAATATGCATTACGTCATTACACGGCATAAGGTCAGAATAAGACTGGTACGCGCACACGTACGGTTTTCTGATCCAGCATTCCGTGACCCTAGGGCAGATGTTTCCGTTTTTTAGGGTTCCGTAGTCCTAACAAAGAACCCTTTAAAGAGTTTCGTCATGTGCGTCTGTCCGTCTTCCCGGTTTTACTTAGAGACTATTAATACTAGAGAGCTGTAATTTTGTGGAGATATATGAATCGATAACACAGACAAAATGGTAGAATAAAATTGAGAAAAATATTTATTTAGGGTAGTTATTTGTATTTGCTTTTTA